AAGTTTGCTCAAGCAAGTATTCAATCAATTTAATGGAAGATTTTTAGTAGAGGGGCAGAGACGGAGGGCGTCTGGCCCCCCCTGCGTACAAGCGTAATCGTGGTCGGGGGCGCGCGAAGCATGCCCCTGGTGTTTCGGACCTGGAAAGCCAATTCTCACCCCATCTGGCCCTCCCCATGTGTGTGCGTAATATTATGGCTTGGGAACAGAATACCCACTTCTTGCCCTACGTGGCCCTCCCCACGCGACTGCGTAGTCATGATCTTGGTGGGGCCGCCCGCCCCCCAGCTTTGGGAATAGAGAGGCCACTTCCTGCCCTTTGTGCCCGCCCCCCCAAATGATGTTCATGGCGGGGGCAAACGGCCCACTTCCTGCCCTATCCCGCCCTCCCCGCTCGTGCGCGTGAACATGGCGGCCTGCTTGACTGGAGGCGGTACCTGATTGGCTCCATGGTGTTCTCCGGGACATGCACGAAAATGCTTATGGCCGTCGGGTTTTCAGCCTCGCTTCTTCTGCCGGATGCAGTTTTTTTCGGGGCCGATACAAATTGAAATGACGATTTGGTCAAGTCATCCTTGACTTTTCTTTCCCCCCTTCTCTTTCTGGAGTGCGTGTCCGGTCATGTTCGCCAACACATAACCCCACAACGGACGCACGATTCTGCCAGACTTCCGGTAAACGTTTCACTCCCACACCGCGGCGTGATCTGAGTCGCTAGGCACAGAAGCTGCTTGGCCTTTTCTCGGTTTGTTTCGTCCCTTTTTTATTTTTTTTTCAATGTATTCATTTTTTCTCCCCGGCCCTTCCCCTTATCCCTTTGTGTGTGGAAGGGACGGACATGGGACGAACTTTTGAGGTGTCGAATTTTGTGGGGGCAGCAGATACCGCGCACTGCCACTCGCGCGTAGGAACGGCCCCGAGAAAAGGGGGTCTCTTAGGATCGAACGTCCAGAGGCGTCTTATTGACAGCGGAAAGGGATGAGGTGCCGAGGGGGATATCGCTATTGGGGTCTGTTCAGTCAGCTTGCTGGAAAGGGACATGTGCAGGTCCCTCGGCGGATGGCTCAGTGATCACCCTCCGGATGTGCCAAACAGTCGGTGGTTGGCGGTTCGGAGTCCCGTTTGCACTCTTATAGGCGCCATTGAGCGGTGGCGCAGGTGGCCTCGGCCATGCACGTGCTGCTTACCGTATGCAAGGGCGGAGACTTGTGGGATGCGTGATGCACCCTCCGACGGCGTCGCGAGGATGGGCCCGTCATCCGCCCGACTTTTTGGAATGCGCGCTTGTGCCCGTCGTGTCCCCCATCCTGTGGTCTCAGTATGCTGCACACCATGACGGATCGCGTTGCGTCGTGGTTCCTCTGCGTTTCGGTTGTGGGCTTCGAAGGCTACTGTCCTCGGTCTCCGGGGTTTCGCCTGCCTCGAGTGCTGTTGGTGGTGCCCGCGGCAACCGGCGGTTGTGGACCCAGGGGGAACAGGGGTTGTGTTCCTTTTGTGCCCCCGTGCACAGGTGGAGGCTTTCCGTCCATCCGGGCATGTAGGAAGCGTGGTGCATTCGTTTCTCTCTTCACCCGCGTTTCTCGATGGAGAGATCAGGCTGTGCACTTCGTTGTCGGTACGTTTTGGGCGGGCGGTGGCATCCGGCTGTGGGCCGAAGCTGTCGGTGGTTCCTTCGCACGCGCCGTTGTTCGGGTAGTGTGGTTAACTTGCGATCTCTGGGTGTGGTGTGGGCRGGTGCTGTTCGCAGCCAATCTCTTGGGCGGGTGCGGCGGGCTGTGTTGGATTGTGCGGT